CACATTGCCTGGTATATCCACTTTAAGTGGTTTTATAAAAAAAATTTATGACAACGGCTACAAACAGTAAACATTGTAAAATTTAATGTATAGATGTCATCACTTATATAGATGTTATATAGTTGTTATATATAAAGAAATATAGATGTCTGGAAAATATACTATAGATATCAACAACATCTAATATCAGAACTTTTATACATTCAGCTACAAGCCTGCAATGTATGTGAAAATATTTTAATTTACATAAAAACAGCATTTACAAACATCAAAGTGGCAAAAATGTTTCCTTGGAAAGCAGAAAACATATAAAGTGATCTTTACTAGTATAATAAAATAACTTTATCAGGCAATGCAATAGAAAGAGTGTGTGTGTGTGTAGGGTTTCTCCTGGAATCTTAAGTTTTTTTTTTTTTTTTTTGAATATTTCAGGTAATTGGAAAAATATCTTATTTTTTTTTTTTTTTTTTTGAATATTTCAGGTAATTGGAAAAATATCTTAAAAATCATAGAATTTTACTCTAGTATGTCTTGTTTTCGATATAGAAAATGTTACTCTCTAAACCACTATAATATGTGAAATCATCCTTACTTTATATGTATAATTTTTTTGAATAAATATTGATAATTTTAACTCTCATGGTGTAATATTTAAGATTCAGCAATTTGGCAAAGTTCCTCACAGACACAACTCTTAAGATTTCATTTATCATCTACAGTATAAGGTATAATTCATCACACAAAAAACCTTTGTAACTCCAGTGATACATGTTTACAAAACAGCGAAAGTTTTCAACCAAAGCTAAGATTAAAAATGTTCTATTTTTAATCTTAGCTTTGCTTTTCTAAATTTTGAATCACATTCATTTCGGTTTCTTGTTCCATTTCACACGCATTCAAATTCCTCATAACCGTAGCCTGATGAAGACCTGGATAGGGTCAAAAACGTTTGCTGTTTTGTAAACACGTATCACTGGAGCTACAAAGATTTATTGTGTGATAAATTATATTTCCTCCAGTATTTGCTAAGAGGTTCATTTGTTAGTGTAAGGTATATTACAGCTTTACTTTCTATTTGTTTTAAATGTTAGGATCCAAACTGCTGTACATTCTTTCTTAGCAATTCAACATTAGTTTATAAATGTATATTTTATATGTGTTTTTAAAAATGTATATAAAATATATACAATCTTAATTTGATGCACTTGGCTTCAATTGTGTTTATATTGAGGTTTCAACATTATAGCATTTAAGGAAAAACAACATGCATGTGCATACAAATCTAATCCTTATTCATGAATAAACATTTTATTATTAAACCATAAAGTTTTTCCATAAAATATAAATAATTGTATCAACATGGTATTTTATGGAATCTGATTTCAATTATGTAGCATTGTAATCAGGTTCCAAAATAACTGCCCAAACTCTCATTAAAATTTTGTTTTAAAAAATTGACTAATGTATATTTTTATTACAAATCAAATTAACTTTCAAGGTATGACGCCAAAAATTATCTGTTATTTTGTTGAGAAACATTTCTCAAATTAAAATTTTTAAAATAACTTTATTTCTGATAAAAGAGTCTTCTGCTTTTTTGTTTAATCTAAAAACTCCAGTGATAGCTTTACAGTGAAAGATCATAAAATAAAAATAAAAATTTTTAAATTAATAATCTAAAAAATTTTACATCTCAAGTTAAAACTTAATATATCAAACTTAAATAAATTCAATATGTTCTTTGTAGTGAGATGTGTGTATAAACCTTAAATTTAAATAAATTTTAACAAATGTAATGGCCAGGACAGTTATAAATATTTAAAATAGATGATAGAAGAAACTAAAATATTGTCATTAAATCTTATCCTTGTTGAAACCTCAGGAACAACAGTCTTTATGGGTAGAGTCAACCTTATAATATATAATATTAATAAATGTAATATTATATTTAGTATCGTGTTATACAGGGGTTACCTGTATAACACGGCACTTCTATAGAACAGATTCACTCTAACATGGTTTGAGAATTGGGAACATTCCCCGTATAACACGATGCTTTTATAGCACAGATTCACTCTGACACGGGTCGGAAATTGGGTAAAACCCTCGTACAACATAAAATGTAATAAAAAGTGCGTTCTTTTATACTTCCGCGTAAGTCTGCGCGAGCATTCTAATTGTTTTCGTGGCTACTTTGAATGCTCTTTCAACAATAATCCATTTAATGGTTAAATTTTACAATTGGGACCCTTGTTTTGCCTCTAAAAGCTCATTTTAGAATTATAGATTTCCCCATCACGATACTATCGATAGTGCGGACGCTGCCATCTTTCTTTCACCGTTGTTCCTAAATGCCTACAAACAGCAGCGCACTCCCGTTGTAGAGCGACTGCTATTAAGGAACGCAGCCAAAAACTGTTACCAGTTGATGATGCTCATGCTGAGATCATCATATAGGATGAATAATCCTCTGGTAAAATATTTACTTAAATAATAAGTATTTCACCTATGAAAAAAAATGAATAATAAATCCTATTTAAATAAGTATTTAATAGCATGTTTTCTAATTTTTGGAACCTAACTTCCCTTTTCGCACTAGTTCTTTGTTTCGAATAACACGGATTTGCATAACATGGCAATTTTTTGGAACATGACTCACGTGTTATACGGGGGCTATCTGTATTTTTATTGGAATTGTGCCTTCACCTGGAAATTTTTTTAACATTTTTGCATATCAAGATGGACAAGTAGCCTCAAATAAAAGGTTGACTCCTCACATAAAGACTGTTGTGTTCCTGAGATGTTGACATGTACAAGATATGAAGACAATTTTTTTAGTTTTTTCTAGTTTATGAATAGGATTGATTAAATAAATTTATTAAAATTCTGAAAATATCTAAATATATTTGTGTATGTTTATATTCAATATAATCATATTTAATGTTATTCATGTTATAGAGAATTGAAAGACAAAAAATATTACTGAGAAGTGAATATTACAGTTGTCCCTCTGTAGTCCGACGTTTTTTAATCCGACATGCTCAGTAGTCCGACGCACCTCCCGTCAAGGTGCCCATCCCCGTTACGTGTCTGCTTGCACAGAAGCATGTCGCGATGTGAATCTCCCCATCCAATTCTTACTCGATGACACACATTTCGTGTGTTTTATGTGAGCAGTTCTGTTCGAACAGTTGGAGTAGAGAATATTGTAAGTTACTGCTAGCAAAACAAATGCGAAATATGTAATTATTTTCAGTAATCCGGACACTTTTGGTAATCTGACACACCTTTGGTCCCATACCTGTCGGATTATCAAGGGACAACTGTACTTGTAATATTGCTATAATCTATGTCCATAAAAGATATAAAAGATTCATATCTCAATACTTTTATTTGAATAATATTCTAATTGCAAGAAGGCATTAATATCAAGTTGTACACTACATAGTATTCATAATTCAATTAGCTTTCAATTGAGGATAATAAAAGTGCAATAATGATAGAAAGCTTCTTATCAAAACAAGAAAAAACTATATATATCTAGCTAATAATATGCAACAATAATGACATACAAAAACTAATGATACAGTAACAAACAAATTTTACTCATAAAAAAAATACTTTTGTCTTTTGAATGATTAAAGGCTTTCCCAATCTAAATAGAATATAGCTTTTTAAAAATATATACTGTATTTCCCCAATTCTAAAATCCACCATAAGGTTTGAAATCAAAAATTAAGATATTTTATTATGAAAACAAAAACTTAATTAATCAATTTTATTAACTTTTGTTAAATGTCAAGTTATAAAAAAAAACAATAAAAATACCATTAAATAAGTAATAGTTGACAGCTTTATTTCCATGCTCTTCTGTATATATAATAACTTTGTTTTAGATGCTGCATTGTAATGTCATCTTAAAAACATTTAAATGTTAAAACTTACTTTAAATTAAAAGTGCAATTACCAGCAAATTAAAATACATTTAAACTGACGTGACTGCTGACCAGTTTACCTAGAAACATTTACTTATTATATTACACATCATTCCACTCATGAAGATTTCTGATTATTGTTTTGGACTTTTTGGACTGACATTGTAAGATGTCACTGATTAATAACGTGTCTTAGAATTAAGGAGATACAGTTTTTAGATATGTATCCTATTTGAACTAGAAAGTCTTATTCTATAAATGGGAAAAAAAATTACTTTTATCAATAAATTTTAAGTTTATTACTGCATTTTCAAATTTTATGTGTAATTATTGAATTTAACTTTAACAGTCTTTTATATATATATATAAAAGCAAGTATCTACAAATAATAATAAAATGTTTAATCTCAATCTTCACGAATGTTTAGGTATTGTATTTCATTTCTAGTAGAGAGGTTGCGACCAAAGTTTTCAACTTGAAAACGTAAATGTTGGACATTCAGCACCGCCTTCCTGTAAGCCTAGAAGTTTGACAATGGTGTTTGGAACGTCGAGCATGATTCCACTGACTTTCCAAATGCCGTTGTAAAACTTCTAGACTTACAGGAAGGCACGCACAAGTACTTTCGACCTCCACCGAGGTCTGCTTCAGGTGGTGACTGGCCGTTTCGTGGATTGTTATTATTCAACACAGTGTTAAGTTGTTGGAAGTTGTTTATCTTACAGGAAGGCAATGCTGAATGTTCAATGTTCATGTTTCACAACTTCTTTAATATTCTTCTCAATTGGCAAGTTTGCCAAAGGTAACATTCATGAAATTAAATTTAGGTAATACAGTAATTATATTTTTTTTTGTTTTATAATTCTATAATAATAATAATATAGCAGTACTAACAATTAATTAAATAACATACAATTTATTATACAGTATAATATTTTGATTAAGAGAATTGTTTAGAATTAAGCAGTTATTAATTACGATATATTTAAGGATTTCAGAAATAAAAAGTAAACATATAAAAATAATGCATTCATTAGTAATTTAACAATGATATCAGATTCTTACTTCTTTTGCTCTAGTCAAAGCATCAGATGGAGGGCACTTTACAGGACTATAGGAACGAGTGTTTATCCTATCATAAAGCTGAATAAAGAAAAACAAATTATATTAATATTGTATTATCTAGTAATTATAAATAAAAAATATATACTTTTAATATTAATATGTTATCATAAATTAATTACAATAATTTTTTAATATAAATTTATATATATATATATAAAATTTAACTGAAATATTTAAATAAATAAACTTTATAACTGTGTATTAAATAATTCATATTGATTATAAAAGCAAACCTTTAGAAAAGTATTTAGTAAATCTTATTTAATTAAAAATAAACTATAAATTAAAATTTTTAATCAATTTAAAATCTCTTCAAATTGACATTTTAAAACAATTTAATTAAAGAAAATGATTTTAATTATTATTGTAAATATTTCATTACAATCTTAAATATCTATAATTCATTTCCTCAAATATATAAATAAATAAACAGAAGATATTTGTTTACATTTTATACACAATTCATAAATTAATATAAATTAAAAGATATAAAATAAATCGTTTTGATAACATTTTAGTAATTAACTTCATTTATTACAATATAAAACATGATTTTTTTTTACATTCTTGCTTCAAATGTCAGAAATAAATATGTGATACAAAGGACATTTTACATGAAATAATAAATTATAATTAATAAGAATGTTATTAACTATAAATTCTATCTGTTATTGCTATAAATCAACTTCAACTTTATTTTAGTATTTAAATTTCTAGAAAATTTCATTTGTATACAAAATTCAGTTAAGTTCTTATAAATCTATAATGTAAATAAATTTGACATATTATATTCAACATCTAAAGTTAGCAGATATTCAACTCCATCTGTATATTAAATTAACAGGAATTTCAAAAACTTCTGTAGAAAATTCTATAGAATGAAGAATATAGAAATTTAAATTACTAAAATTGTTTCTAATAATAACAAATAGAATTTATAGTTAAATACTGTATGCTGTTGTTATTATGAACAAATTTAATAATTTGAATTCTAGAAATTCATTTTTAGATAATTAAATAATTATTAAATTAATGAGAATTTTATTATTGTTTATGTAAACTATTCTTTTTTCTTCACAAAAACATTGCTTCCCTTCATAATAAATGAAATTTAATAATAATTTATTCAATAATCACGAATTAATTTTATTTGGTATATTTTTAAAAAACACGAAAATATTTATAATTAATACTTTTAAGAATAATATTTAAGAAATTTTAAATTTTAAAACAATTTATTTTTTAAATTTTAAAATAATTTAATTGGATTATTTAACGCATCGTAACTAATCCGATAATTTCAAATTTATGCGTAAAACCGGGCGATTTACTTGTGTCTAACTAAATTCGTTTTTCAAAAACGACATTCTGATAGAAATAAATTCGTACATTTAAAAATATATCCTTTGTTTGTGAAGGCACATTAAACATTCATACTGCATTAATTGTTTACATAAGAAGAATCTGATTCTGACGTCATACCTCATAATCCAATAGCATTTAGTTCTGACACGAAGCTTAATGAAATAAAAAACACAACCAACCTTAGCTTTTCTAATTGTCTGTTTATCAAAAACGTTCCACTGCTTCATCATGCTGTATAAGAAATACATAGCGGCGAAACATGTCCCGATAACAGTTTCGATCACGTATCGTCTATACACAAGACTCTCTCCACACAAGACAGAAAGAGGCGGAGAATAGCCAGCCAATAGACGTCGTCTTTCATACAAACACTAAAACTCTAAAATCTCTTATATAGTCATTCTGGCCTGAGGCCAATTCTATAAAGCACGAATATATGCATGAAATAATCGTTTTGTTTATTTTTCTGTATTGGTAAACGACTACGTTTCTACTTGAAAGAAATGCTCGTGCGGTGATTAAATACGAATAAAAACTTTTTCGCCGACCAAAAAAGTTACTCATGCGAATCTTGGATTATACTAGAACTCGTCTTTAGTAACACTAATCCGCAATAAGATACCACGACAACAATCTATATTAAACGATGAAGAATTGATTTAACCTGAAATCAACAAATCATCATAAAAGATAGAGTAGGCGTAGTTTAAAAATACTGTATAAACACAGTTGACAAATACTAAATTTTAATTTTTAAATATACCTGTAATAAATTTGAAGTACTGATTCCTTAAAAAGAGGAAAGAAAGAAAAAAGCAAACAGTACAATCCTACTGAGATGAATGTATCGTCTAATTTGGCCCGTTAACGTCAAACCAATGAGAAAGAATGCTGAAAATGCACTCAAGTTGCTTTGCGTCGATATTTATCATTTAAAACAGTTTATAGGCACTAAGTTAATGTTGTTGTTTCTATTCTAGTGAGAAGGAAAGGAAAAATACAAACATGTATTGATTAAAAGTAACTTTCAAAAGTTAACTATATTTTTTAATTAATTTTTAATTAAATCAATTCTTCATTGTCATGAAATCTGTCATAAAACTCCGATGATAAACATACAGAAAATAATTTTTGATTTGAAACTAAGAAAAATATTTTTAAAAACACGTAAAATATAATAATTAGTAGAAGATAAATAATAATGAGAGAAAAAAATGAAAAACAGGACTAGAAATTTTTTATTTATAATAAAAGTTAAAACAAAGAAATTTTTTGGCGATTAAATATGCAAAATATATATAAATATTACATTACTCTTGTGTATGATTTATTATATTAGATTTCATTACGTCAAATTTTGAAAAAATAAAGAAAAATTCTTGACAACTTTCAACCATGTTTAAATTTAATTTATTAACTCTCTGCTAATCAAATAATACTTATAATATTTATCATAGAAAGCGAGAAATTACTTTAAAATTAAATAAATTTAAAATGAATCTAAACATATAGAATTAAACTACTTTAAGATGAAAAACAAATGTTACAGGAAAAAATAGAAATTTGTATATTACTTATTTGTAAAAAATATTAAATGTTAATTAATAATGTGGTTTAAAAACTCTTAATGATTTTCAAATTTGCAGGGTAAAAAATGAAAACAACAACCAATTAAACCGTATAGCCAAAAGTTCTCAAAAGAACAAATAAACGTACAAACTTCTATGACAATAATGCAAACAAGAATCATTTTAAAATGCATGCTATCAATTGTACATCACTCTCCATCTTCATTCATTCTGGTCGCTTATTGCCAAGCAAAAATTAAGTGTGCCATGCACCCAGTCCAGTGTAAATTCATCTAAATTTAGATGATAAAATCCAATTATTAATATGAATTATTATAAAAATTTTAATTTTAGTTGCCTTTTTTTTATACTGCGATGTATATTTTTACGGAACACCAATCGTTTTTATAAAAGAAAATACGCGTTATAGATATAAAATTATAATTTTATTAAAAATTATAATTAATTTTTAATAATTCAAATTACATTTTTTAATTTTTATTCTACATAACACTGAATTTTATATATCTACATAAACTAAATGAACATGAAGGCAAATTTATTCAGATTCCACTCAATAATTATACAGTATAAGTTGTACATAACTCAACATTATAACAATCAGTTACAGAAAACGTGAGACTGATATATTTATTATCCAGATAATTAAAGTAAAAAACAGAATATCTTTCATTCGTATAGACATTACTATACAGAAGTTGTAAAATTATCTTAAAAATATTTCAATGCTCTAGTAAGTTGTTTCCCAACTATCAATTATTTTAGTGCATATATTTCTTACATATATATGTCTCAAAATGAATTTTTGCCCCCTTGTTTTCCCAACACCTCTACCACCCCAGTCTTCTACCACTATCAAGAAGGCGGTATCGTCCACTTTGGGAATCACTATTCTAGTATTTCGACCAGAGTAATTAAATACTATACAATATAAACATTTTAAATCAGTCATTAAGACCCATGTTTATTAACATTTAAAAAATTCATTATAAATAAAATGTATTAGTGCATCTTTTCATAATAATGTTAAAATTTAACAACTAAATAAAATATATTTTATTACGATTGAATATAACAAAAAATAATTCATGTCTTCAGATAGTTCAATGGCTTAAAAGTTAGATGTCAAAATTCCGTCATAAATTTGGTAACATCAATGGCAGACTGAAAACCCATTCATATCGTCGACGTAAAGTATTAATTTACATCAATTACGATCGTTATGTCAAAACTGATAAATTAATGTAATGTATAAAAGTTGCTATCCTAAAAAGTGTCAGATTTTACATAACTGGAATTAGCATATTCTTTAAAAAATCTTAAATAATTTAAATTATGCTAATATTTTTAAAAATATTTATACGTTTCTTTATTTTAAAAAAATACGGAAGACAGTAAGTTCCAATTGAGTTGGCACTTAGCCTGAATAATGTAAACAATTGGAAGTTGACAAGAGTTTTAAGCTATAATTAATAATTATATATTATTCGAAAATTGTCATCGTTTCTATTATTGTCCTACGCAATATGCTCAATCGAGACTAATGTATAGATAACACAATACAATTTATATAATTAAATATAGACCTATGTTAAAAACGATAGCGATGATTCAATTGATATAGGAAAATCGATTTAACACTGTCCTGCCAAATTTCGAGTAACATTTTCATCGTGTTGTTAATAAATTACAACCCTAGACGGTTGTTCAAATCCTAGACGGTGAATCAAAATTACTGCTTTAATATTAAATTTCATTAGCAAAAAATTAGATATATTCTAATTAAAGTATGAACCTCTATTCTAAAAAAGTAGACTACATAAAGTTTAAATATTATCAGACAGATTATTTTTCGATTCCGAATCAAAATCTCGATATTCACCTAAATAATGCTATTTACTCAATTCGATGTGTGTAAAATTTCATTTTCTTCAGCTTATTTAATCTAAGAAATGAAAATACGAAATTTTCAAAATCGCAAATTTGCAATTTATATTAATTTTCCAAACAATTTTCTTACATTATGACACTTACATTCAAATGTTTCAATAAAAATGCTATGAAAGAAATAACTTGTTTCTTAACGTAAAAAATTATAAATAATAATATAAAAAATAAAATTATACTTACTATAATATAAACAGTCATTAAGTATCCCATACATTCATTAAATAAAGTAATCCGTTTACCTATAGTACTCTAGAATATTGGCAAAACGTAGGCTACGAAAACGATAATGTGCTTATTATAGTTTTTTCCTGTTCTTAAAAAAATGAAACAACTAACAAAATTTCTGTTAGGAACTAAGTAATAAAGATTTCAATTATCGTACTTGTTGGCTAATTATTTGCCCATTCGAAATGCTCCACTGATTTATCAATATAGTCTGTTGGATCTTGTTCAAATTTTATAGACGGCTTTAGATTACGCGTCTATACTTTGCTGTAAAGAATTTTCTAGAAATATCTATTTTGGAATATTTTCAGCAATACAATTTTAAATCAATTTAAGACTGTTCCGAAAATTATTATTATTAAATTGATTTTGAATTTGTAAATCTTCTTGATTTTAAGCATTCAAATATACAATTGGAATGTTTGAGAAAGTTACAAAATGAAGTATTAGAAAATAAACACAATGGAATCTCAATTATCCAAACTTGATGGGACTAGGGTCTTTCGGTTAAACCAAAATTTCAGATAATCCAAAAACTCATTTGTTTTTATGTTTTGGGTACATCATTAGGCAGAGTCCATTTAAAGTTTCACGAAAAATCTTTTATTACACATCAACATATAGTATTGTCACAAATACTTTCTAATGATTAGTATCCCGCACGTTGAAGAAATTAGAACAATACAAGTTTCTAATTGCTATGCCATAAATTTATTACTTTATAAATTCCTCGCTTATTCCTATCCAAACTACTATTAAATAAATACTTTAATTACGATATTTGAAAGTAAATTAAACTAGCAATTATTTATAGTGACATCGTTACAATACCGAGCTGCAATTTTTAATATTTTAAAAAATCACGTGACTTCCGGTCGAGGCCTGAAGTTCCTATATAGTTAATTGAAGCCTTCGGTCCTAAGCTTATCAGATTTAGTCTCGAATTTCGTCTACCAAACTCCGTCCTCGAGATTAACGAAGAACAGATGAACGAACGACAATAAGAGTGTATAGTCGGCAATTTGAAAGTTGCTGCCCAATTACTCAAAATCTAACGCAATGTTACGTATATGACCTAGTTTCGCGGCGTTACAATCGACATATGACTTGGTGATTTCCAGTTATACGGAGTTGTCTATGTGGCATGTACTGTAGAATTGCTAAAAGTTTCCCCCCTTGCTCTTTCGGATAATGGAGTCCATTGTATATAGCCTAGTACTGTACATGAAAATATTAGGGAAAGGTAATACTTTATCCGATGCTGGATTTTAATGCAAGAAAAAATTATTAGTCAAATTTTAAAAAATTTCATAGGGTAAATGTCAGTTATAGGCCATTTCGAATTTAAACCTGTTTTATAGAACTCTTACTAAAGTTATTCTGGAAATATTGTATGCAGTATAAATACAACTTTCTGCCGTCAAAGCGTAGTTCCATGAGAAACTGGGTATGATACGAAAGTATGTACTATTAATAAAGAAAATCTGTGAATGAGTAGCAAAAGAATCCAGTATGTTCTTCTATCGTTGCGTGTGGCCAATAACTATGCAATTTTGCATTTTCGTAAAACAAGACATATTTTGGATTAAACGATTGGCGCTTATAACTTCTAGATCTTGTCAATAAAAAAGACTTTAAAAACGAATTCATCGGTAAGTATATTATTTCCAAATTTGACTTTTCTATTATCATAGAATTTTTAAAATAAAAATTTCCTTAAGTGGCCGAAATTAGATCGTTTACCCTATATGACTTTTATAAAATCTGATTGAATATTAATTCATATCTTATCAATAAAATAATTTAACGATACTGCTATCGTTGCAGATACATCCTATCTACGGAACTTAGCACATTTTCTACGAAATCAGATTATATTATTCGATTAACGTTATATTATGCTAAAATCATGCAACCAATGATCAATTGTTGTAATCTATATAC